GGGAGCTGGAGGCAGACAGGGATGGGGCTCCCTGATAGATGACCTCAGGAAAGTTGCCAAACTTCTGTAGGCTCCTTACCACGGCTCAGTTGACCTTATAGAGAGCAGGGCCTTTGTGGAGAGAAAAGTGAAAGAGCTGGAGTTAGGAGAGGGAGAGTACCTTGGAAGGCTCAGAGAGGGCCTCTGGAGCCCAGGGGGGTAATAAATTCAAGAATTGGGGTTCAGGGGTGCCTGGGTGGTTTGGTCAGTTAAGTGCTCGACTCTTGATTTTGGCTCAGGTCATGGTCTCAGGGTCATGAGATAGAGCTCCTGCTGAGCATGGAGCTTGCTTAGGATTCTCACTCTCTCTGTCTTTCCCCACCCTGCTCATGAACATGTGCTCTCTCTCTCTCTAAAAAATAAAAATAAAAAATATTGGGGTCTAGAGTAGTTGACATGGGGATGATTCTCAATCCAGCAAAGGGCAATCACTCTGCTTGGGCAGGTTGGGGTGACTTCACTTGCTGAATCCTAAGAAAACCCTGAAGCTCTGTGCCCACAGGATCCCCTGGGATCTGACCCAGTCACACTCTCCAGAGAGAGAGCCTAGAATGGGGAGGGCTGCAGCGGAGATGAGCAGGAAACCTGAGCTCCTGTCAGGCTTGGGGTTCAGTCAGCTGTGCGACCTTGAAGAAAGCACCTCACCTTTCTGGAAGGCTGTCTCCTGGTGGAAGTGTAGATGGGAGCTCCTCAGCTAGCCTGCCTGGCAGAGATGAGACAATCAAGCCAGAGATTTTTAAATCATCATTTCATCCAGTAAATATTCCCCGGTGCCTTCTCATGCTGAGCTCTGCGCTGATAACACAGGAGACCAGACCCAGTCCTGAGCCCCAGCTGCAGACAGTAAGGGGGCTCAGAGGAGCTCCAGCCTTCTGATTGCTAAGTGAAATTCAAAGGAGAGAAGGAAGTCAGGAAGGCTTCTTGGAGGGGACAGAACCCAAACTGAGCCCTGAGGATCAGTGGGCTGGGCCTGAAGAAACAGTCAAGGGGAGAGAAGAATCCAAGTGGGGCAAACAATCTGAGCAAAGATACTTCCACGGAATGCATCAAAGAATGAGCACAGCCCCAGACACAACTAGACATACATTTATTGAACACCCTACTGCATGTGGAATACTGACAAAATGGAGAGGGAAGTTCTTCTATAGAACAGAGACCCCCCAAATGGCTCACAGTTCAGAGGAACCTGAACAGAGGAGAACACCTGCATGAAGAAGGGAGGGCAGGGAGGAGGCTGGGTAGAGGCTTTCACAGGGACAGCAAGTGGAGACTCATTCCTTGTACCATCTACATGAACTTGCTATGCTGGGGGAGGGAGGAAGATGGAACAGGACAAAATGACATGGGAGCTAATTAGTCCCAGAAAAGGGCAATGCATCATCCAGTCACATAATAAAGGCCCCCAGGCCCGAGGTGTTATGGCTTTTCCTGTTTCAAAGCACTTTCTGTTCACTTTGTCACAACAGCCCTGAGAAGACTACGAAGGATAAGAATCCAGAAGCCCATCTACTTTCCAGAAGTAGAAGTTGACAGACCAGAGGCAGAAAGACATCCAAGGTCATATCACATCCAGCTTGGCATCTGTTGCTGACTTCAGCTTCCTGGGGTCAGGATGAGATTCCCTGTTGTACTGGTCCTTCTCAGATACAGCCACTACCTTGGATAAAGCCCTAGGCAAGGAGCCTGGGCCAGGTTTAGGCTAAGCCCTGACAGCCACTAGCTTTGAGGCAAGTCCCTGGCCCTATGGCCTCAGACTCCCCAGTTATAAACCATAATCACATATGGGTGTCTGAGTGGCTCAGTCCATAAAGCATCTTCTCTTCAGCTCGGGTCATGATCCCAAGGTCCTGGGATTGAGCCCCATATCGGGCTCCCTGCTCAATGGTATCTTGCTTCTCCTGTCTCTGCTGCTTCCCCTACTTGTGTTCTCTCACTCACTCACTCTCTAATAAATAAATAAAACCTTAAAAATTTTTTTTAAAAATAGTTTTCTGCACTCAGTCAGCAGCCCATTGGCCGAGGGTCATGGGCGGCTTTTTGGAGCGTGCAGCGCTGCTGGGGTTGTTGAGTGGCCTGCAGGCCCCTAACCCGACCCTGCTCACATGCCCCAACTCCAGTGGGTCCTCCTGGACCTGGGAGCAGACCCTGGTTGCAGTGCAGCCAGATGGGGTGCTGTGGCGGCTTGCTGGGGATGTGATCCAGCGCTTTGAGAGGAGGGACTTCAAGCTGGTGGGGATGAAGACACTGCAGGAACATCATCCATGCAGTGACTCTGTGGAGGGGGCTGTAGAGAGACAGCTATGGCTTCAGAGCAGTGAGCCGGTAGACTGAGCAGACAAAACCCACCAGAGCAGCATCCACCCAACCTGAGCACTCAGGCTGCCCTCAGCCACCCAAGCAGCCATCCAGGATCAACTAACTACTTCTGTCATCCAGAACCTGAGCCTACACGGATGGTCTGCCCTTCCATCCCAGACCACCTCTCTGTCTACCTTCTCTACCACCCCGCCCCACCCCAGAGGGATTGAGCAACCAACTTTACATGCCTTTTAGTATTGTAAGGCAGTAAGAAATTGGACCAAATCCTTTCTATACCAAAGTGCCAGACAACCTTTGGGACATCTCCAAAAGTGTGTAGTATAACTATCCTTCCCCAAAGGGGGGGTGGGACATTAAAATTCACTACGTTGTGTAAATAAGCAAATAAATAAATATTAAAAAAATAAACTATAGTCACATAGTCACTGCCTTCTCCTCTGGTACCTGATGGTTCTAAGTTCTCTCTGGGCCTCCTTTCTTCAATTGAGATGTCTAGTACTCCCCAATCAAGGCTGCCTGCTGCCCTGCAGCCCTTTCCCAAGGAGGCCATTAGCCCACCAAGACCCAGCACCAAGGGGCCCTAGAGAGGGGGCTCTGGCCTTGGCAGAATCTGTGATTCCGCAGAGGCTGGAGGCAGAAGGGGCTCTCTGTAGTAGTGGGACAGGAAAGCAGAGACCTTTCCATTCATCCATCCATCCAACCATCTACAAACGTTTACTGCACTCTCTCTCGTGCTAGCCTCTGTACTGCAAGTCCAATAGGGAAGAAGAGCCAGTGCCTCTCACTATGGAGATGTCAGAGCTGGGGCTTGCAGTTGATGTGGGCCAGGGCTTGGGGGAGCTCAATAGCTGAGTGCACAGCCCCAATGGCTGAGCACCTGTGCCCAGAGCAAAGGGATCTCAGCCTGTTATTTATACAGACCAAGGGCAGTGGAGATCAGGAATGGGCTAAGAGTATGTTGTCCAATCTCTGGATGCATGTGCTTGCATGCATGCACCTGTAAGCTTCCCCTCTGAGAATGTACCCGGAAACCTACATGGTCCCAGAAATATGAATGCTCAAATATCTATGCGCTTATGGATGTATGAACACATACGAGGATGTACTCAAATCTATGTTAACACGTGCACATGTATGAATGAGCCTGAATATACTTGCACGAGGCATACCTGAGCCTACCTGCAACCATGTACAGGCTTGTACACAACATCCTAGGCATGTGTATGCACATCCAAGGAAGCACGAGTCTGTGTTTCCTCACATGTGGATGCCCCTTGAGCTGTTCATGTGTCCAACTTGACTCCACATGTACACCTGCATAGACGTGTCCAATCCTGCATGTGCAAGTTACAGTTCTCATCTGCCAATACCCAGGAGTGATGATGGGGAAAGAGGAGGAAGGGAGAGGGGAGCCCCAGCCCCAGCATCAACAGACCTCGCCCATGATGTTGTTGGTCTTTGCCTGGGACCCAGGCCACGCAGGGTCTGTTTCTCCTCCTTAAGGGATATCGATCTGTTGGTCAATCTATTAAACATAACCTCAGGGAAGAAGTCAACCCAACAACTGTCCCTAATTCAGGAGAAAGACTGACTAATTCTTATGGGGAAAGGGGGCAGCCTCTATCCCAACCAGTTTTGCTGATACCAGAATGGCCGGTGGATCAAGTGTCAGCCTCTCCAGCATGAATAATTCATCCCAAGGCCAGGAGTGCTCCCTTCTCAGGAGCCTATCTCTTTAAATCAGGTCGGGAGCTTCCCAGTTCTGAAAAAAGAAAAAAAAAAAATCCAGAACAAAACAAACCTATAAACAGCTCAGTCCCTGGCCCCTCTGAGACCACCCCTACCTCACCCCCCATCATTCAATGCTGCAAAATCGGCTCCCCTTCTCCAAATCTCTAGAGCTCCAAACCCTCCCCCCCTTTCAACATTTACAGGTGGGATACCCTGGAGGGGAGGAGGGGCAGTCAATGGTGTATAACAACCCCAGGGTCCCGAGACCCAGTAGAACAATGTAATGGGGTGCCCAGGTGCGGGAGCAGGGAGGGGAGAGGAAAGAGCTGAATCACCACACCCACCAGGTCCTAGGGCCTAGGAGAGTGCTTGGGGGAGGAGTCCAGCCTGGTGGAGGAAACCAGATGGAAGAACTCCCGGCAGAGCAGCAGTGAGTCGAAGGGGAGGTGGGGGGAGGAGGGGGGGGAAGGGGTTGTCGCTGCCTTCCCTGGGTGGGGGTCGGATGGGGTCGAGAAAACGTTGGTCTTCCAGTACCTGCAAGCGTGGTGACCCCAGCCAGGCCTAATGTAACTGGGGTTTTGCTGAGGGGGTCAACCAAGGCTGGGGATTTTCCAGTCTCTCCTAGCACAGCCCTCTCCTCGGTCACACACAGGGAAGAGGCTGAAAGATGAGTAACTTTCTCAGCCCACCCCTCATCCTCGCCTGGGCACGGAGGGGGGGCTCTAAGGTCCTCCCCCCAAATTCTCGCTCCGTGGTGCCGACCCACCTGCCAGCTCTCCCCCGCCCGGCCCCGCCTCACACGTGCGGTAGAGGGAGGAGGAAGGAACCAGCTTCAACGTGGGGGGGAGGGGGGGACGAGGGGAAGCAAGTCGGAGCCTGGGAGAGCCAAACTTCTCGGCAGCCCCGGAGCCGGAGTGGGGGAAGCGCAGCAGCAGCCGAAAGCCCTGCTTCCCGGGAGCCTCCCACCCCGCCCCTCGGCGAGGAGGGCGCGGAGACTCCTTTGGGGGCGGAGGAGGAGGAGGAGGCCGGGAGGCTGCGAGGGGGGAGACAAACCCTGCCCACTCGGCTCGGAGCCCGGAGCGGCCGCGGAAGTCGGAGGCCGGCGCGCAGGGCGAGGAGGGCACCGGGGGCGGGGGGCTCCACTCCCCGCCTGACCCCTGTCCCCCCGCCAGGAAAAGTGACGGCTCCTGGGACTTTAGAGCCAGCGGACGGACCGACCGCGATCGCCAGCCGCGCCGGGTCAAGGGCTTGCCCCGGCCGCCCCCTCCCCGCCCCCCAGGCGCTCCGAACTCACTGGTGAGCGCGGCGGCCCGGGCGCCGTATGCGGGGGCAGCAGCGATGGCCCCGCGCGCCGCACAGCCGGAGCAAAGGGGGCCGCTCCTGCCGGGGCTGCTGCTGGTGGCGGCGGCGCTGAGCCGGCCCGCCGCGCCCTGCCCCTTCCAGTGCTACTGCTTCGGCGGCCCCAAGCTGCTGTTGCGCTGCGCGTCGGGCGCCGAGCTCCGGCAGCCGCCGCGGGACGTGCCGCCCGACGCGCGCAACCTCACCATCGTGGGCGCCAACCTGACGGTGCTGCGCGCGGCCGCCTTCGCCGGCGGGGACGCCGGCCCCGAGGAGGCGGCGGCGGAGGCGGCGGAGGCGGCGGAGGCGGCGGCGGCGGGCGGCGTGCGCCTGCCGCTGCTGAGCGCGCTGCGCCTCACGCACAACAACATCGAGGTGGTGGAGGACGGCGCCTTCGACGGGCTGCCCAGCCTGACGGCGCTCGACCTGAGCCACAACCCGCTGCGCGCCCTGGGCGGCGGCGCCTTCCGCGGGCTGCCCGCGCTGCGCTCGCTGCAGCTCAACCACGCGCTGGCGCGGGGCGGCCCCACGCTGCTGGCCGCGCTGGACACGGCGCTCGCCCCGCTGGACGAGCTGCGCCTCCTGGGCCTGGCGGGCAACGCGCTGAGCCGCCTGCCGCCCGCCGCGCTGCGCCGGCCGCGCCTGGAGCAGCTGGACGCGCGCCTCAACGCGCTGGCGGGCCTGGGCCCCGACGAGCTGCGCGCGCTCGAGCGCGATGGCGGCCTCCCCGCGCCGCGCCTGCTGCTCGCGGACAACCCCCTGCGCTGCGGCTGTGCCGCGCGCCCCCTGCTGGCTTGGCTGCGCAACGCCACGGAGCGCGTCCCCGACGCGCGGCGGCTGCGCTGCGCCTCCCCGCGGGCGCTGCAGGACCGGCCTTTCCTGGACCTGGACGAGGCGCGGCTGCGCTGCGCCCACGGCGACGCCGAGGGGCGCGGAGAGGAAGTGGAGCTCGCCGGCCCGGAGCTGGAAGCCTCCTACGTCTTCTTCGGGCTGGTGCTGGCGCTCATCGGCCTCATCTTCCTCATGGTGCTCTACCTAAACCGCCGCGGCATCCAGCGCTGGATGCGCAACTTGCGCGAGGCCTGCCGGGACCAGATGGAGGGCTACCACTACCGCTACGAGCAGGACGCCGACCCGCGCCGCGCGCCCGCCCCGGCCGCCCCGGCCGCCCCCGCCGGCCCCCGCGCCACCTCCCCGGGCTCGGGGCTCTGAGTGGCGCCCCTTGGGGCTTGACGGCTGACCCTGCCGGTTGAGGACTTTCCTGCGATTACCCGGCTGAAGCCATGGGTATGAGACCCCCGCCAGGTGGGGGCTTCGAGATTCGCCCCTGACCGGCTGAGACCTCTGGATTATGGCATTCCCCGCCGCCACCGCCACCACCACCCCCCCCACGCCAACCCGGAGGCCCCAAGCTGGCACCCTCCTCTCCCCAGCCTCTGAGAGCCCTCGCCATCAAAGACCGAGAGACACCCCTTATTGATTCCAGACACCGGACCTGCCCATCCCAGGCTCTGACACATCCCTCCCCGAACCACCCCCAAAGCACCCTCCCCCTTTCGAGACTTGCCCGGAAACTTTGTCCTTCAGTGCGAAAGCCCTGAGACTGCTTCCACCACCCTGTGCTTTGAGGCTTGATCTCTCAGTGGGAAACGTCTCCCTAGACATCACTGGCTCCCAGCTCCAGCCTGGAGACCTCAACTCCCTTCCCAGGGCTCAGGGACCCTCATATCCTATTCTGATCTCAAGCAGAGCACCCCTCTGAAGGCTTTTGTGGACTTTGAGCCTTTTTTCTCATCCCAGGGCTCTGAGCCCTCCCACCCTGCAGACACCCACATCCTAGGGCTCTGAGGGTTGTGCACCCTCCCCCCATTTGGGGGTGGGTGTATTTCATACTGCCCACCACCCCAGCTCTGGCTCAGGCTCTTCCCTTCCTTGGCCCAGGCTTGGGGCTCAGCTCCATCAGTCTCCCATCCCAGGGACAGTCACACCCTGTTATAGCCTTAGTATGGAACCGATCCTCAGCCTTTTTCACCGGGGCTCTGATCCCCCAGTACTCAGTGCTTGTCCCTAATCTCAAGACTCTCAGCTCTTCACCCTGATCGGACTTTAATCCACCTGCCCAAGTCTTAGGCTCTCTATCCCCCCTACACCCATCGCTTGCACTCACTTGGTCAGGATCCAGTGAGAAATCCATTCCTGGGGTGTGCCCACACCCCCCTTTCCTCCTAGGATGAGCTCTCCAGCCCTGCAAGACAGGTGCAGGTGCCAAGCATCCCCCAACCATACTGGCAGATCCCCAGGGGGAAGGAGAGAGTCCTAGGGGTTCAGAGTAGTTGGTTGGGCCTCAGAACCAGGGTCACCTGTACATGGTGGCCTCAGAGAGGAGTAAGGGAGGAGGCTCTGAAGGGCTGGGAGCTGCTGCCCCCAAGCTCTTCTTTTCCACCCATGTGACTCTTCTCCCTTGGGGATCCCTTGTCCCCACATCCCCCTCCACCAGGCCTTTTGGCCTCAAAAGGGAGGCCAAAGATGAGGGGCCTCATCTCTTGTCTCAGGCACAAGCCATCCTGTTTAGGGTCAGAGCCTCAGGGCCCTGCCTTCTGCATGATCCCAAAGCACAATTGGTGAGTGGGGAGGGGGCTGCCTCTCCCTGACTCCCATCCCCTAGGTCAAGCAGAATGGCTGGCCTGTGCTGCCTCTGCACACAGGAAGTCCCATAACCCGCTCCCCCCCAACCCCAACTCCTTCAACACATTGGCTTGAGGTCTGCCTTCCCGCCCCCACCCAAGACATCTGAATCTCCCTTGGGCAGTTTTCTATAAAGTCTGCAATAATCTCAAATACTCTGCTCTTGTAAGTGGTGCCCTGTCGTTCCTGCTGACCTTGGGGCATTGAAAGTGGTGGGAGGGGACACTTGGGAGGGTGTTTTGGACCTCCCTGAGTGAGGCAGCGACTTTTGATGTCTTCTTCTGGCGGCCTATGGGAGAAGAAATAGGCTCTGACTACGTGTGGCAGGTTTGAGGTGAGACATATGGAAGGACTTTCTGCTGGGATTGCCTCACTCTCCAAACCGGCCTGCCTTTAATCCGCTGAGAGGGGGCTATCCATAGCCAGGCTGCAATCTATACGTCCTCTACATCCTCTTACCTTGTCATTCCTCATCGCTGAGGTAGGATGGGGGCTCTGGGGGAGGTGCACTGGGGAAGAAATCCAGCTCCAGAGACTCAGAGGCAGTTAATTCGGGCAGGAAAGGAGGGATCATTATTTGCCGCTTTGGCATCCTCCCCTGTGATGAATTACCTGCCACTCCCTTATAACCTGTGTCATGCGATGCTGTCCTGGAGTGAGGTCTAAGCAAGCGTGGGTAGGGAGAGGCTGAGAGAAGCAGCAGCCTAGGAGTGGAGGCGGGTGGACATGGATAAAATGATCCCTGCAATATGTGGAGCAAGGAGACAGGTGAGTTCTGGGCCAGCAGGACCTGGGTAATAGGCTTATCTCCTACCTCAAGGTCCCCAGACTAGATTATTTCGCATTCAGGTTCTCAGAGCCCTAGAACTACCAGGCAGAAGGCTAGAATTCTGGCATTTTAAATCGTAGGGCCACATTATTCTAGAACCTGTGCCCTTTAGACACTGAAAAGGATCTCAGAGGTAATGTGGGAAGTGTCCTAGGCCCTCTCAACCAAGAGCACCCTCTCTCAATGGGGGGCTCACTCCCTCCCATCCTGGGAGCATCCCCCTCATTGCCTGGGGAGTCCCACCTGGAACTCCCTGACGGTCCCAGCTTTGCCTTGGGGCCAGGAGTGCCCCTCCCCTGGCACAGGTCTTCACAGAGTTGGGCATAGTGTAGGAGTGTCTGTTTCCAGCAAATTCCCAGTCATTCCTCGTGAGAAGGGATCAAATTCTCTAGAAGTGTTCCCATCTGTGAATGACCTTCAGAGGGTGCCCTCCCAGTACTCCAGGATGAGATAGGAACGATATCTCTAACACAGGTTAGAGACCTGTGTCTAACAGGTCACCTCCCCACTTCCAAAGACATGCCCTCGTAATGTAGCCTAAGACTGCAGTAGGTCCTGGCAAATAAAACATGCTGTTAGCTGTGGGTTCATCATCAGCAAAAATCTTTGAACGCTTTATATGAGAGCTGCCACTAAGCTAAGTACCAAATCAATAGTTGTCAAAAATCAACTAATTGAGTGCCCAGTATATGCCAGTTGATATTTAATCTTAGTGCCATTCACTGATTCCCATTAGATGTCATTTCTGGGTTCCCACCCTCCTTGCAGCCTGTCAGTGGCCTTTGGCCTTATGTGACTATCAACAGGTCCCTAAGGCCTGCCTCCTCTGCAAATCCAGCCAGCCATTCGGCCTCAACTGAATACAATTTTGCCAATTCTAGAGAAGCTAATGACCCAGGGAGGATCATAGTTAATCATGGTCTAGAGAAAAGAAGTCTTGGGATACAGAGCTTAGAGTAAGGGCCCCTGACCCAGCTTAGAGAGACTTCTACTTAGAGGAAGTCACATTTGAGTGGAGTTTTGAAAGATGAGCAGGATTTGGAAGAACGGAAGGAAGGATCAGCAGTATCGGCTTTGTGCAAAGCACTGGAGGCAGGAAGATCTGAGTTGAGAAGCAGAGACCACTAATTGCTGTGTGCATGAGATGGATCTGTGATCCCCACGTCTTCACTGGGAGGCTCTAGAGGGACATCTACCCTTAGAAGGGAACTCGGGGAAGTGGAGAGATGGGTATGGGAAGCAGGAGAGCAGCGCAGTGCCTCTTATTTGTTGCTTCCTTCTGTCCAGCCTTTTTGTGCCAGACCTCACACTGGGCACTGGAGACAGAGGAACCAGACCTACGTCATGCCCATGGGAGCCCAGATGGGCAGGGGGACAAGAGCAGTGGCCCCTTTAGGATCCCAGAAGAGACCTTGCAGAAAAGGATGACATGGAGAGGTCTGGCTGGCCTGCCCTGATACCCTGATGCCACCCTCCACTCCGGACACTCTGAGCAGTGCCCAAGCCTCACTGAATGACCAGCCTCCCTCTATAATCATAATGCTGCTAATGCTGCTGGAAGTCTGAGGTGGACGGGGGGGGGGGGGAGGGTCAGGGCCAAGTGCCAGGGGGGAAGAACTCCATCTGGGATGTCCCCTTAAAGAGCAGAAGAGAGAGAGAGAAAAGGCCTGTGACTGTCAGAAATGTGATAGACACGAAACTACACACTTGGAGAAACATGTCAGACTTCCCAGGGTTTCTGGCCCTGTAAAAGCTGAAATTGCCTCTCAAACAAAGGGAAGCCATGAGCACCATCTCCTTGGGAAAACTTTTACTTCTGCAGCCCCCTTTCCTACTCACGCCCCGCGGGTCTGGTGTGGGAACTGGTGAGGGCCCAGCTAGAGACCAAGAGGACTGGGTCTCAGTCCAAGTTGAGCATGACTGGCCACACCATTTGGTCTTCAGTCAGAAATAGGTGAGACCCTACTGTGTGCTGGGTGATGGGGCGATTGAGCAGTGAAAGTGGCAGAGCCGGCTCCTGCCTTCCTCGCCCAGTCCAGGGTGTCCGTGGACACCCCTTGCCCCTCTCTGATTCAAGATTCCTTTTGTCCAGGCTGGGGCTGGACTTGTGACCTCCAGAGGGACTTCCTGCTCTCAATAAAGTTCATCTCGTTCTTCATTAAGTCTCTGCCTGGCAGACTCACGGCCCTAATTTATGGATGTGGTCTTTGCCAGACTGGGAGAAGTGATGGGGCAGTTAATGTTTCTGTGGTAATGCGCTTGGCAGCCTTTGGAGTCCCCTCTCCCATTCCCCTGCCCCCCCACTCCTCCCTCACCACCCCTCCTCCCTCAGTGCTGCCTCAAGCCAATTTGCCTGGGGCCGGCTGGTCCCTTACAGACCACCCAAACTAACCCTTCATAGTACTGATGGGGAAACTGAGGCCCAGGGAGTGCAGGAGCCCATCCAGAATCAGAGCAGATCCAGAACCCAGGATGTCCCCAGAGCCATTCCTGTCCTGCTCTGGATCTGACAGGACTGTCCTGTCTCTTCACCCTGTATCTCCACCCCTCTGGTCATTGCTTCCTGCAGCCATACCCACACCTGTGGTGGCCTGGAGATGGGGGGCGGTGGGAAGTGGAAGCCAACACCAAAGGGGTGGGGAGGACTTGTCAGCTTCCATCAGCAGCTTCCAGCAGGCCTCGGAAACCTGCCTCAACCTCTTGCAGGCAGAAATCCTGCTAGGGATCCTCCCCCATGGTATGGGGTATCTCTGCCATCCCTGAGAGGAGAGAGGGGTTTGCTCTGGAACCCCAAGCTCTGTGGTTCAAGATATAAAACTCATCCTTCCTGAGCCTCTACTTTCTGCTGAGCGTACCTGACAAGATGACAAGATGACAAGATGGACTAGATCTTGGAGCTGTCCTCCCTGAAGAGGAGGTCTCTAATGATGGAAGCACATGGGGGTCCCTAAATAAGGGGACCAACCAAACCAGGAAACTTTGGAGAGTGAAAAAGGCCACTATTAATAATTATATCGGGACAAGAATAATTTAGGACTGTACCAGGCTGGTGGGCCCTGGACTCCAGCGACTTTTGACAAGACCTGGAGGGGAAAAGAAAAAGTGCTAGACTGCTAGACTAGTCTACCAACACGAATAATAATACACTCCCCACCCTTGACCTCGTCCTCCAGCCATGCTAAACACCTTCTTGAACACTATTCCCCAGGTATGCTGAACTACTTAGATTTTAATACCTGAGCCCAGCAATTCCAGCCCCTGTACCTCTCTGTTCACGTAGTACTCTCTGCCTGAGATGCCTTCCCAATGCAGAGAGCATCAGGACGGCCTGAGTCCCCTCTGCCGTCCTAACCTCACCTCTTCTTCCCATCACTGCACTCCCCCAGACCTTTATTCGTATGGATTGGTTTTCTGGCCCATTGTCCACACCAGATCAGAAGTTCCCCTGAGGGGCTGGGCCCAGTTCCCTTTTGGGTTCCCAGTCCTAGAGCAAGGAAGATTTATGAGCACTCTCCCTGCTCCACAGAAATGCACAGCACCAGGGAAGAAGCATCACACAGGGCTCATGACCTCCCTCCGCCCACTCTCTTTGACTTTCATAACCTCCCACCCCACTAATTGTGGTTGTGGTTATAATAAGATGCCTGCTCCTTGTTGCTATTCAATGCAAGTGAGAAAACAGAAAATGCAGCTGTAGAATATTTAATCGTGTAAAACGTAAGGTAGCCTTAGCTTCTCCACTTTGGCGTTTTAGTACAATCATGACTTTCTGGTCCTCCATTTGGAACACTTGTCCAGCATCCTATCTGGGTATCCTTGGCTACCGGCTCAGCCAGCCTGTCCACCACCCGTCTTGTGTCTTTACCCAGGGAGCTCCAGCGACATCTGATGGCCAATTTGTATCAGAGCGGAACCAGTTTTAATTTTTTTGCATTCTTGTGCTATCTGCTGGTGAGCATGGGAAAGTTCCTTCATTCATTTAGTCACAATCTGTTCAACAAGTACTTTATAAAGATGCCTACTAGTGCTGAGCACTGTGCTAGGAAGAAGTTGGGAGTTGTTCTAGGCGCTTTATATATAATAACCCATTTTAACCTGATGACAATTCTACGAAGTAGTTACTATTATTCCTACCAAAGCACATATAGGACGCCGGGGTGGTTCAGTGGTTGAGCATCGCCTTCCGCTCAGGGCGTGATCCTGGGGTCCTGGGATCGAGTCCCTCATCGGGCTCCCTGCATGGACCTGCTTCTCCCTCTGCCTGTGTCTCTGCCTCTCTCTGTGTGTCTCTCATGAATAAATAAATAAAATCTTAAAGAAAAA